AATTTTACTTAAGATGCAAAGGTCTGTTTTCTTAATAAATTATTGAGATATTAGCAGTTTTGTGATGGACGAATTTTTATTTAAGTTTGTGTAAAGGATTTACGGAAAGAGTTTTAGTTATAATTTGCACTCTATTAGTATTTCATTTTAAGAATTTGTATTATAAGTACTTCTGCGTTACCATTAAAATTTTATTATCACATGAGGATCTATGTAACTTATTTGGAAAAGTCTTTGAACACCTACCAAATCACATGATTTTGCATCTACCAAAATTTAAAGTTTAAGTAATTATTGCTAGATATTTTATTCAGAGAAAGCAAATTTAGCACCTAACTAAAGTTACAGAGGCCATTATTAAGATTATAATGGTATCAGAATCACTAAAATTGGTCTATGGTATCTCAACATATAAGCATTTAAATCTTCTTGAACCTACTAAATAATCATGAAGATAAAAATACATATACCTCGTGATCTACCAAATCAATTTTAGTGATTTTTATTTCATTAAAATTGAATACTCGCTTTTAAATCTTTAATTAGAGGAGTAAGAGGGATTTTTTCTTTGTAAAAAATCTGAAAAAATATTTTTTAATATTTTATAAAATGCAATTTGCAAGCTATTTATCTAAGTAAATCATTTATGTACCTCTAATCAAAGCTTTAGAGGTGAGTATTTTAATTTTAATGAAACCAAGATCGTTTAAATTTGTTTAGTATATTGAAGTTATAAGTATTTTTATCTTAGCAATTATTTGGTAGGTACAGCAGGTTTTTGCGTATTCACAAAGATTTAAATGCTTATATTTTGTGAAATAATAGACTAGTTTTAGTGATTCTGATACTATTCTAATCTTAATAATAGCCTCTGCAACTTTGGTTAGAGGTTAAATTTAGTTTCTTTTAAAATATTAGCAATAGTTACCTAAACTTTAATTTTTGGTAGGTGCAAAATCACATGATCTGGTAGGTGTTTGGAGACTTTCTCAACTTATCTAATAGTGATTCTTGCTTTGATGAAATGTTAGAAGATTAAAATAAATAGTTGTTTTTTCATATTTTTCAAAAATTGTATAATAAACTTCTTTGATACTATAACAAAAAATTTTGCACTAACCCTAACTTAAATGAACTTAAAAGTTTTTTGTGCACTATTTCACTGTTATGTGATAGTTAATGTCACTTTAATGTGATTATTGAAAATTGACATTTTCATGATTGTATAAGTTACACTATGATTAATTATTGGCTAATCAATGTAAATTATCACATAGATGATACTAAGGTAGTTTGCATATTTAGAAATATAATATATTTGCAGTATAATATAAAACAAGTATATTTAAACAAATAACCTAATCATATTTTTTGCACATCTGTTTTGTTTTTCTTATCACATAACTTTATAACAAAAACAATAACTCGAATGATAAAGACAACAAAGTCGACAATACCAATAATGAAGACAACAGTTTCACTGACAAGAGTATCCAGAATGACAACTTCAACAACAATAGTTCTAGTGATAAAGGTTTACAAAACTACAGTTTCAATAATGAGAAAATTATTTTTAGAAGAAAAATAATAATGTTAGTTTAAAAGGCAAACAAAAAATAAAAAAAAAAGTATATAAAAACAAAAAAAGAAAAGAACAGAAGGAAAGAACAAAAGGAAAGGAACAAAAAAAA